CTATGGGCGCCCAGCGCCGAAGACTACCACTAACGCTACTACTACTGCCTAGCGCTGAAGACTACTGCAGCCTCCCAGCGTGATGCCTCCCTACTGCAGGGCGGGCCAGTCTTATATAGAGCTGCCCGTGCAGTAGGCCGGTAGGCTGCTCCTTGCTGCTGCCGAGGTGCAGGAGGCTGCTCTTGCCAATGCCTCCGCCTGCCAGGCCCTGCGGAAGTTTCCTGGAAGTTTCCGGTAGGGCTTCCGGAAGCTTCCGTAGGGAAGTCTGGTCTGAGGGCTTAYAAGCCCTTGGTCTGACAGGCCCTGCCAGGCTTTCAGTCTGGCAACCGTTTTAGGRCCTGYAGGGCCTGAACTCGGTTGTCAGGCTGAAATGTCTCYGGGGCCTGTAAGCCCTAAGTTTTAGGCTTCAGTCTGGCAACCGTTTTAGGGCCTGTAGGGCCTGAATTCGGTTGTCAGGCTGAAATGTCTCCGGGGCCTGTAAGCCCTAAGTTTTAGGCTTTTAGGCTGACTGTCTGGGACGGGCCCTGTAGGGCCCGTGTGGCTACGCAGTATGCCACAGATAATGACCAGGAGTTCTATTTGGGTGAAGACCGTAGTTCTTTTCTGACATCTTTTCTCTCTTCTTGTTGTCATTCTTTATTCTCGTTTCAAATCTTCCCCCATTTTTACCTGCCTCGGGCATGCCTCCTCTCCCTGCCTTCCTCTTCTTCCCTTGTGTGTTTCCCTTTTCCGACTGCATTCTCTGTGGCCTCTCTGATTGAACTGAAGCAGTGCACCCGGGGATGATGTGTCACGAGACAGCGTAAGCTCGTGCTCGCTGCACAACATTTCATCGTCACCCGCCTTGCACAATATCAAAGTGCCGATTTGGCACTGATTACAGAGGTGTACTGCATGACCCGGAGCTTGACGGGCTTGTGAGGAGTAAGGCCTCTATTTTCTATCCTGTGTTGCTCATGATTTGCATATTTTGTCACCCTCTTTGAAGTCCCTCCCCTCCTGTCTTTTTTTCGTTTTTTTATCATTTTATTGAATTTATTCCTCTCATCTGGTTGCATGGGGACTCGAACTTGGGTCTGTATTTCAACAGTTCATGGGTGTACCAACTGAGCTAGGCCAGTTCGTCTTTCTGTCTGTTTTCTCGTCTGGTTTCTGCTCTTTTTTTTCTTCTTCTTCTTTCTTTTTTTAAAAGGGCTACGGGCTTGAGATATCATCATTCAGCTGACCGGCCCCAAGTAGTTGGTTTTACTCATCGCATTCCATCATCTGGATTCGAACACGGGTGTGTATTTCAACAGTTCACTGCTGCACCCACTGAGCTAGGCTCTTTCTGCTTTTCTTCTGTCGTTGAATCTATTTTGCCCACCGTCTTCACCCAAATAGAACGCCCGGTCATTGTAGCCGTATTTGGTGCAATTTTCAGTCCAGAATACAGTTGTAATGAACCCAGTCCCATGAGAAGCCAATCAGTRATGAACCCAGTCCCATGAGAAGCCAATCAGTGATGAACCCAGTCCCATGAGAAGCCAATCAGTGATGAACCCAGTCCCATGAGAAGCCAATCAGTGTCGTGATACAAATCTGAACCCAGCGAAAATAATAATGTCCCCAAAGTCGATTATATGTCCATGCCCAGCATATGTGCACTTTCCAGGAGCATCGTAACTTCAGAGAAGAGAATGAGGTAGTGGGGAGAAGAGATAGTGAGGAGGAGAAGAAGAGTCCCAGTAATATCCAATAATGCATGAAGTCTCTTCCTGCCCACTTCCTCCTCGGGCAATATTATTCCCCCTTGCCGCCACCTCAGCATTGAAGTCTCTCTTTGACGTTCTCTGACAGATACAGTGCACAAGTCGCAGCCGGGCGTGCATCCTCCATCCACCTCAGCAGCCAATCAGGGAGGATGGCGCAGATCTTTGTTGCATACTAGTGAATACTTCAAGTATGGGCAGAACCAAAGATCAACCAATATAGGATGAGCATGTATGCAGCGGAAGTCTGAGCAATGGACTGACTCACATAGACTGAACCCATCTAGATATCACTCGACACACAAGCAATCGTGAGATGGTGGGGTCTGAAGCCAATCATAGACGATGCTCAGGCCCCGTACAACCATACACAGATGAAAGGTGGGAGGAGAGACGATGGAGGTGGGAGGTATAGGCAGCGCTAGATGTCACCGAGATAGAATCCAGTAGGTCACCGATATGCTAGTCCAAAATGTCACCGAACAAAGATCAGAATGTCGTGGACAAATAAGTCACCAGAGTCCTAATGTAACCGGTGTCAAATCTGTGATGCTGCCGAGTATCAATCCCAAACATCTCCAAGGTCTCGAATCCGGTAAGTATCACAGCCTCCTACCACCGAAGTCCAAACACTGATCTCTGGCCAACTCGTATCAAAGTCTCCAGTCTGACGACGACGAAGAAGAAGAAGAAGAAGAAGAAGAAGGAGAAGAAGTCTGAAGAAGAAGAAGAAGAAGAGAGGAGAAGAGATGGCAGAGCATGGACGGGGATGGCGAGTAGCGCCAGGCCCTACCTGATGGGACAAGGTGGCGCCTTGGCTGCTGCAGAAGACGGCTGAGCTGCTGGGAGCTATGGCGCTCGTAGCTGTTGGTCAGGTAAGTCCCCCCTCCTCGCTCTCCCGTACTGCAGTGCACTAAACTTAGCGCTGCAGTTCCAGTGCTGCGCTGAACTCAGAATAGCACAGCGCGGTCGCTCCTCAATGCCGCTACTCCCTACCTGCAGGAATGGCCGCTGGACCGGCCTAAGTACCGTCCGGCGGCCGGTTGGCCTCAATGCTGGCCTCCTGCGCTGTGGGGTGAACCGTTGAACTGACCGATCAGCGCAGACGGGCGGGCAGCAGCCTCAAGAGCGCCGCCAGGCCAACCCTGGTCTGCTAGGTGCTGAGGCCCCAACCAGTGGCCTAACAGGGCCTACCGGGAGAAAAAGGCCTGGCCTTGGCGAGGCCAGCCCGGGTACCCCCTGAACTGGTATGTCGGGCCTGTGAAGGCCCGTGTGGAATCGCAGAATGTAACATCTTCCTCACCTTCGTGGAGACGAGCAGCAGATCACATCCGGCGTCGCCAGGTAAGTAAAGGTAAGCTTCCCCCTCAAACCCTCTCCAGTCTCACAGTCTCGATCCTCCTGCGCCTCGCCCAACCTCAACAACAATGTCTATGGCGATGGCGGCAGTGGCCGCTCCAACATAATCTCTCCTGATGCTGGCGCCCTCCCAGCAGCACTGGCGCCAGCACAACCTCCAGCAGCCTTGCGATATCGTACTAGCATCAAGCCAGAGCAATGCAGAATGATCTCCATAGTGGCTGGGCCAACTCTATATAGTGTTGACTCACGTTGACCAGCCTCCAGTCTCCTTGGGTCGAGGGCCCAGATGATCCAAGAACCAATGGCCTGGATGCTCCGCAGTCCCAGCTTTCCCTTGTGTCCCACTTGGACTGGACTCTTCTGGATACCTGCAGAACAACCACTGATGTGCATCCGATCAACGGCCGTGGCTGACCGGCGGGTTGACTTTGACTTTGGGCCTGGAATCCCGTGCTTGGGTTGACTCTTTCTTTTCCAAGAGTCGACTGTCTCCCGATGGGGTACTGGACACAGCTTTTGACTCATGCCCTGTTACCCCTAGACCCTAGGCACTTTCTCAGACATTTTCCAGACTAGGGACGTGGCTTGTGACCCCTGTTTCTGGCCTTTCACCAAAAAGTGTGATGACCCTTGCCTGCGGCTATGCTGATCTGAATGGGGTTTTGTTGCACAGCTATAAAATGACCGGGCGTTCTATTCGGGTGACGACGGTAGTAGCATTGCACACATACTCCTTTGGTAGGAGAGCACACAGTGCTGATGTCACGTTTAGCACGGCATATGGTATAGCCTATAGCGCACCTGACCGATTCCGTGCTGACCATGACAGGTAGCACGTAGCCCAGTGTCGAAAATAGCACCCATGGTAGGTACACAGCACAGCACACCCGTCACACTTACAATGGCAGTTGGCATGCCACTCGTCATGTTCTTTGACACAATTACCTGGCACAGGAGTGCAATCAACCGTCTCAGCAGCTCTTCAATTCCTAAAAATTATAAGGCTTGTGTGGCCAACAAAGAATGTTTGTACAATGTGCAAGCAGGTTATTAACACACTATGGATTTGAATGCGTGGGGCAGATCCTTGCCCTTTCTTGACTGATGGGATGCCGTCATGTTGTGTTCGTTCATCTCATGTGTTATGTGGCTCTCGCAGAGTTTATGAACTTAGGTTACTCAGCCAATTTCTTCCAATCTGTATGTTATGAAGTTACAAATTGTCTATTCTCCTGTGATGTTCTCAGCCGATGGCAAAGAGAAAGGCGGGGGGGTATGAGATCTTCCTATTCTTTTGGTCATCAACAGGGTTTGAACCTCTAGTAGTTCATTGTACATCGCCCATGTGGCTAAATGGTGCACACATGTAACTGTCGGTAAACAGGTCGTGAGTTCGAGTTCTGATGGAATCGGATGAACCTGTGGTCCATTCGGTTTATGAACATCCACAGTTGAGAACCATGTACAGTCAAGAGCAAGCATTTACAGCCCAGCAGAAAATCAACACCAACAACTTGCACCTGCATCTCACAGGGAAAGGAGAAAAAGAAAAGGCCAAAAGCAAAATCTGCAATGGCATCGCACACGGCAAAAGAAAGGAGGTGAATGCCAAGTTCTAACTGCATATCACTGGGAGATTTACTGTATCTCTGGCTGGCTGACTGTATTGCCTGTGTGTGCCGCCCTTCAGGGGCAGCCCCAATGAGGCGATCCGATACTTGGAGTTCTGTGTGCGCCGACTTCAAAGCACGGATCCGGCCATCCACAATCTCTTGCTCTCACTCTACGTGAAACAGGTACGTAGCATGCATGCGGAATCTGGAATGTATGCATGCATGCGGAATGTGGAATGTATGCATGCATGCGGAATGTGGAATGTATGCATGCATGCGGAATGTGGAATGTATGCACAGTTGACCATGATCAGGCGACGAGTTCAAGCTTCAAGTTTTGCTGCACACAACAACCTGAATACTGAACTGAAGCTTATGCATGCTGAGTAGTCTGTCGAACCCACAACAATCAGACCCTGGATTCAAACTCCACGAATGTTGTCGGATGCAATATCACACTAAGGACTATCACCTCTGGAAAGGAAGTAGGTATTGCATGCATGGATTGTGCTTGAGCTGTTGGCGATGCAGAGTTGGGTTTTCGCTGTCTTAGGCATTCGATCTGCTTGTTTGCACTGTTCGCGCTATCGATTAACTTTGCATTGCTAAGTAGCTTGTGATGCTCGGTTTCTGCTGTTGGAATTCATGCACTTATGCGGTGATTGCATTCATGTGCTGCATGATCGCAGAATCTCTCATCATTTAGCAACTCCTGCAGCAATAAAATTAAAGCCATACTATAAATTTTCTTTCACCTTAGTGTGGTCTTGGAGGACACCCCCGCTCGTACCCTACACACCCACCCATTGTCCAGCGCCTCAGCTCCCTCTGCAGAGGAAGCCCTCCCAGTTGTGCAGAGGGAGCCCTCCCAATCACGCCATATAAGAATAGTAGAATACCCAGCAAAACGTTTGGAACGCTGACCGAGTGCACCGCCTTACAGCCACCGAGATCTACGTCAAGATAGGGCCGATGGGGCAAGCTAACCCAACCCAAGGGGGTATCATCATCCGTGGGGGCCGCGTCCCCCCAAAGATACTCATGCGCGTGCAGTCCCTTTTTCCATGGTCTGACAGAGGTGCGTCGGCTGAGTGCCTTTGCTCATGCAGCCATTCAGTGTGCACAATAGTCAACACCTCTGTGAACCATCTCCTCTTCCCCCTCCCCCTCCCCCTCCCCCTCCCCCTCCTCCTCCTCTTCTTTCTTCTTCCCCTTTGTTGTTCTCGTTGTTGCCTCCCTACCATAGCCACTGTCACTCCTTCCCCCCCATGCCTTTGAAAAAAAGAAAAGAGAAGAAAAGAAATGATGAGGCCCCTAAATGGCCGCTACCTTAATATTTTTGAAAAACAATTGAGCTCAATTAAGCATGGAGAGGTTGGCATTGACTCTGTACCCTCGTCAGTGCTATCGTTTTATAGGCGCACCCTTGTCATCCCTGTGCAGTGTGCACCTTGTTTTGGTGAGTTGAACTTGAGAAGTTGGGAATCATTTGTCGTTTATGTCAAATTATGTGGCATTTGTTCTTTTTTTTTTCTTTTTTTTTCCTTTTTAAATTTTTTTCCTTTTCTCTATTTTTTTTCCTTTTTTGAAGTTTTTCCTTTTTTTTCTTTTTTTTTTTCTCTAAAGAGAGGGAGTGTGAAGTACAATGTTTCCGGGGGAAAAAAAAGAGAGGGAGTGCAGGTTGTATACCAGTTGGTGAATAGAAACGTATTTACAGAATCCTGGAAATCCTTATGGCTGCAGGACGATGAGAGCGCACTGCTAAGGTTTCTTGGTTCAACAAGTGCGATGGGGGCGAGCCGACCTGGGTCTCCGGATACTCTGTACGATCCAAAGTATGCCCTTCGCATCTGCCTTGAGCACAAGCGAATGCGGGCCTGCATCTTTCTCTACAGCTTGATGGGCATGCACGAGGAGGCGGTTGCCCTTGCTCTAGAGGTGCGTTCTGACGAATGACTGACTGGACCCAGCAGCGTAACAGAATTTTGACAAAGTTGAGGGCGCACTCACACTGTGATGAAGCCTGGGCACTGGGTCATGGTTGCTTTCAGGGGGAAGACTACTCAGGTGAAAAAGTGTAAGAAGACGACAATTAGGAGTTCAAACTGATGGACAAAGGATGGTTAGATAAGGAGGAGGAACGATAAGGAAGAAGCATTACAGCAGAACGGACATATGGGAAAGTTGGTACAATGCAGAGGTGGTTACCATGGCTGTTGTGCACAATGACATGCAAAAGAGAGAGAGAGAGAGAGAGAGAGAGAGAGAGAGAGAGAGAGAGAGAGAGAGAGAGAGAGAGAGAGAGAGAGCAATCTATAACATGTTGCATTGGATATGATTGGGATTTCCCTTTTTTTGTTTGGCAGGTAGACCTTGAGCTTGCAAAAGCGGAAGCTGATAAAGTCGAAGAGGATGATGCTTTGAGGAAGAAGCTATGGCTGCGTATTGCGAGGAGAGTCATTGAGGATGAGCGAGAGAGAGGAAAAGAAGGAGAAGGAGAGAACATAAGGAAAGCAATTGCCTTCTTAAGGGAGACGGATGGACTGCTGAAGATTGACGACATTCTCCCATTCTTTCCCGACTTTGCACTCATTGATGACTTCAAGGTAAGAAATGGTGCAATCATGGGCATGACATCAAATCATAACTATGATATGCACATCCAGACTGCCATTCATAACTTTATCAGGGGACTGCAGTTCTCCGCAAGGCATCAATCCAGTCCTGTCTGGCCCCCATCTGGTGTTCGCAATTTGCAGTATGGCCTTGCATCGTTGCCTCCACCAATTGCAACCATCATTGTTGCCTGTGCTCGGTGTGTGTGTATGTGTGTGTGCCTGTACTCTTAGTGGCTCCAGTGCAGCCAACATGCCATCTCTTTTGTTATTACCTGAATTTATGTCCTATGACTCCTAATAAGCATACTTGCAAGCAGACGGACCGGACGAGCGTCCGGTCCGGTCGCGTGCGGCACCCTCCCCCCGGACCAGAAGGACCCGGACCGGACCATTCAGGGCCTTTTTTTTTTTTGGGGGGGGGGGGTGGGGCGTAACTGGTCGTCGGGCGCACATTCGTGCTCTGCGCGGGCCCGGTCCGGCGGTCTGCCGCACGTGCGGAACCGCCCGGACGGCGTCCGCTTGCAAGTATGCTAGTAAGTCTTGTATCATGATACCAGCAGCATATCCGCCAACCAGACCACTTGTACCTTGAACACAGGCGGAATCTTCCGCTCGTTTACAACACATGGGTATGATTGATGTCACACCACACTTGTTTGTGATGTGCATGTTTTTGGTTTGTATCTTTTCTGCTCGTATACAACACATGGGTATTACTGATGCATTTTCTGATGCGACGTGGGTCCTCTCTGCAACATTTCAGTCTCATAGCGAACAAGTGGAATGGCTGCATCATGAATTGAATACATGGGCATTATTGCTGTGCTTCAGGTAGCAAGGCAATAGGACAACCAGGAGCATAGTATCGTGGCAGGGAAATGGATTTGTTCCCTGCCCTAAATACCCCTGGGCTTCTTGGATGGGAGGGAATCTCACACTGTGGGCCGATATTAGTCTAGTCAACAGATGTTTTGCTTGCATTTCGTACTCTAGTACGGATGTTTGAGGGCAGGCGGATGCCTGCGTACTCAATAGACTCTGTTCAAACTCTCACAGATCATCATGCATCAGATGGTATTGAAGCTCTGAAGCATCTGAGCCGTAAGACGATGGAATTCGACAGGGCTTTGAACTCTGAACTTGCAAATCATTGTTGCTCTAGGTGTGACTATGTGTGTGTCTGTTGTCATGTTGCGCTATGCACAGCTCCACAAAAAAGAGTGCGACTGTACCAGTCTGTTTCATCGAACTTTCATTGACTCATCAGGAGGTTGAACCCCAACAGTCTGCGCAGGATGCATTTGACTAATGGAAAAGGACTCACCACGCCGCCCCATAGTTAACAATACCCCAGATAGATAGAGAGAGAGAGAGAGAGAGAGAGAGAGAGAGAGAGAGAGAGAGAGAGAGAGAGAGAGAGAGAGAGAGAGAGAGAGAGAGAGAGAGAGAGAGAGAGAGGCAGACTGTCTGTGTGTGTGCGTGCATGCATCTGTGTGGCTCCGGACTCACGATCCAGTCGTAATGTAATAACGTGGTTGTTTGATGTCTCCAACCGAGACTGTGTTTGTACTTGAGTCCAGTTCTGTTATGACAAACAAACAGATAAGATGTTTCTGAAATTTTTGAGTGTGGGCAGCAAGTCTTTTTCTTCCGTATTGTCTCTGTTTGTTCAGAGCAAGATTTGGCATTTCTAACAGCTAACACAGATCACGGCATGCCTATGTCTTTGTGCATTTTCAGGAGGCCATATGTACATCGCTGGAGGATTACAGCCGTCAGATTGAGGAACTGAAGCAAGAGATGAATGAGGCAACGCGTGGTGCCGATAACATTCGCCGGGATATCGCTGCCTTGTCCAAACGTTACGCCTTTGTCTCGAAGGACGAGCGTTGTGAGGTACGTCCTTCAGTGCTGATCAAGGAGTCCGCTCACTACCTTCTTCCCCGGAATAGAAAGAAGTATGGTCACTATCGCTGTATCTGGACTGGAGGTCACACTAAATACATCTTTAATCACTGTATGTTGTGTTTGGGGGAAGACGGCAGGACTTGCGTAGGTATAGCTGATTATAATCATGGTCCCTGTTGTGATGCCATTCAGCCCGGCTGTGCAGCTGGGCCCGGCTGGAGTTCTTGGCAACCCGCAAACGGCGCATCGAGAAGTCTATAGTATTTTGCGCAATTCATGATGCATGTCAAATGGAGCTGACATTGAATGCCTGTTTCCAAAAAAAAAACGTTTTTTGAGATCCAAGGGTGCGTGAACGTTTTTGAGATCCAAGGGTGCGTGAAACGGTACAAAGGGGTTGAGATGGAGTTTAAAAGGGGGGGGGTTGGACGTGTGTAGTGTAGCGCATTGACTCACCGTGCAATTCGGCCAAGAACTGTGACTAGTGTGAATATCTCTGTCGTAGCCCAGCATTTCACTTGTCTTTATTAAGTTTATTTTCTTTCTTTCTTTCTTTTTTTCCCCCTTTTTTTAACTCAACTCTCAAGGGCCCTTCTATTCTGGGGGGCGTCAGACCGGTTGCTTATCACTGGCCAGCATGTTTTGTACAAAGGTAAGATCAGCCTAGACCTCATGGCACTGGGCGCCTAAGCTATGGAGCACCCCACCCCCAACCTTGACCCCTCGTCTTTACTGCCCACACTCAAATCTCTCTCTCTCTCTCTCTCTCTCTCTCTCTCTCTCTCTCTCTCTC